CAAGCCTAGGTACAGGCAGTGGAGCTCAGTGGAGCTGCATAGCCCTCAGGCCCACTGCCTGGCTCTTCTCTCCAGGGAGGAAATGTGATTTTGGTGCCCACCACACAAAAGGGGGTCTGTCTTTTTATCAAGAAGAGGTGCATGCAGGCCTCATTGCCTCCATTATCTTGGTTCAGGATCTGGGGAACAATGGTTCCAGGGATGTTCGACAGGAAACCCTCTCTGCTTACAGCAGTCTTGTAAGGGAATTGTTAGCTTCCTGGAGATGAAATCCACCATAATTACAAAAGCAGCTTATTGTGTCACCCTCAATGTTGGACTGATGCTTCCAAATGTGCACCCATCCTGGCAGGAGAGCATCACTACATCCAGCACTCATCAACAGCACGCTGTGTGAGGGACTAAGTGACTGGTCAGCTCAAAAAGCCAGCTCGCCAGGGCTTGCTGGCACATGTCAAGTCAGTCTCTGTTTCCACTCTCACCTGCCACTGCAGTGGCCTGAGACAGCAGTGTGGTGCTCAGAGATTGCTGGCAAGGCTGCAGGGGAGACCAGTGGGACGTGTGATGCCTGTCAACTGCTAGCCAAATCTTTAAAGTTTTCTGTTGTTTTTTTCTGCTTTCTATCTGTTTTTCAAAGCAGGGTGCTACCTTTCTTAATGGTTCAGTACATCAGTCGGGCAATTTGTGTTAAAAGATTGTTTTGAATTTTGTTTTTGCAGTGTGTCTCCCTAAAGGATTCCTGTCTTGTCTAGAGCAGGGGGCTGGGAGTCAGCCCTACCTGGAGAGCGATACCCAGCAGTGCCTGGGAGATGCTGCACTGCCTAGATGAAATGTTGCTCCTGCTGTTGTGCAGATGTGGCACAGGAACTTCCCATGGAACTTGCCTGCAAAGAAATGTCATGGTGATGATTCTGGTCAGACTGATCACAAGGCAGGGGACTGTAATGTCCAGAGCTGCAGCTGTGTTGTTAAAAATTACAAAAGTACTGAATTTACTTTGTAATAATCAGCTTCTTACCCCGTAATAAACAACATCACAAAATGCAAAGTTCTCTCAATGTAAGGATGGGAAGACTCAGATTTCTTGCCAACAGTGTCACGTATGTCAGGCAGCATGTGTGCATATAAAGTGGAGCACTAGAGATGCTTCTGCAGTTGGAGATGTCAGTCTTAGGCCGCTTTATGCTCTCTATTCACTATGTGATGAAGAGGAGGAGCAAAAGTAGCTGCTCAATAAAATAAGAAGTGAGACACCAGTGGGTTGCAATTATCCAAAGTGGGTTAAAAAGTCCATGATAGAAGATGGAAAGATGATTTGCACAAGTTGCACAGAGCAGCTAAATCTGTGCAGACACCTCTGGTGATAGGTCCGTTTTTCAGGCTTCCTCAGAAGAATATGTTCAGTTGCTAGACCTCCAGTAGCTTTCAATGTATGTAAGGAATGAGGAGCTGCTAAACATTAGCTGTAAATTCTCCCTAGCAAGTTGCAGATTTCAGAACATATAGCGGAAAATAGCTTGGTGGTGAAGAGCAGAGTAGGGTGAAGATTAAAACAAATGTCCCAACCCTGGCATTTCCTGTCTTGCAGCTACATTTATTGTGTAACTGGGCTGAGCACACACTGCAGCCACAATTGTAGCAGGAACCTTCATGGTGCAGTCTCAGTGGGGATTCTGGCTGTGGCAATGTAAGCTGTCCTGTGCTGTTGCAAATTGGAAGGCAGTCTTTGCTGACCTGAGCAACTGGCTCAGGCTTCCAGTAGGCACTTCAGAAATGCAGTGCTGTAAAATAAATGATCAGTGCATCATTTGTTACTCCAGTCCAGAGCTTCTTCAAAGCAAGCCCTTTGAATTCTTGCAATTAAGCAGTCAAGTTTGCTTCTGAAGCTATGCATGTCCCTCCCTTCCCTTATGCCCAGCTTCGTTCTTCATTAGCATTCAAAGCCTAGGAATAGTTATTCCCTGTTTGATTGTATCTTTGGTGAACAGCTGAAAGGTAGTGGTGTTGCTGTTCAGTGATTCCAAGATGTGAAAAGCAGAGAAAATGCTTCATACCAATTAGCCAACTGCAGTGGCAGTTGGGCTGTGGGTGTGCAGTAGTCCTGTTTTTCAGGGAAGGGCTTCAGTTAAGAAGACAGCTTGTGGTTTATTTCATCTCAGGATCAAAGTATTTTTTCCCCCCTTCCCACAGCCAGATACTGAGTTTATACTGTTTTAAGGTCAAATACATGAAGTCGTCTTGACATGAGCAAGAATGATGGTTGTTGCTGGGGTGCCAGTGGGTTGTATGGCCAGACAGGCTCTGCTGTGTTCTCTCTTGCCTACAGACAGTTCATGCGATCTGTCTGCATGGCAATAAAACTGAGTGTTATTTTGAAAAAAATATTATTGCTTTTCAGAGCAGACCCAGTTATCTGACCCCAGGTAAAGGAACCATTTGAAGTCAAAAGGTAGTAAAAAAATGTAGCCGTGTGTCTATCAAAATGTTAAACAAAATACCCCTGCACTCGCTGCCTTACCTCAGCCTCACAGCACCTTCCTGCCCACCACCTCAGCACACCCTCCCACCAGCACCCTGCATGTACTGGGTGCTGCAAGGGAGCACCACTGAGAGGAGGGAAGATCTGGAGACCCCTCAGGCCTTTTACTGTTGATGGGCTACAGAGTAGTTGCCCCACTTATTCATCAGTTTCCTCACAGACATGGAGAAGGACAGAAAAAGACTATTAGGTATACAGTTGGGTGGGTTTTCTTCCCCAGTTATGAGGAAATCATTAGGGGGATGTGATGTCTCCCTGAGAGACTTTGAGAGGTAATATGGTACGGTTTAAATCAAGTGAATCCCAAATTTCTGCTATTTGAAGTATTTGAAAGACGATGTTGTACATCATTATTCACATCAGAGAAATAGAAACTTTTTGATGACCTTATCCATGATGTGCATTATTTTCCCTCTTCTTGTCTCTGTGCGTACTTCGCTCATTCTGTCCTGAATAAATAGAACAAATACCTCACAGCTGGATGTGAAATCTCATGGCAGTGCTGTAGGTGAGAAGTACAAAGCTGTGCCCTGCCTTGTGTTTTTCTGCAGTGAGGAAGAGTGACAGTTGCTAAATGGCTTTATACAAGCATTTCTGTTGCAAACTCTTGTGCTGTCCTTCGGGTAGATAGTGCTACACAAACAAGGATTTGTCAGGTCTAAAAGCAAGTATGCAAATTAACCTGTAAAAATCATTCCACACCGAGTTGTAGCTCAAAGGATACGTTTATGCTGTGTTGTGGGAAAACCAGTGGCAGTTATGCCCCTCTTAGGACTACATCGAATAGTACAAGAAAGCTGAATTAAGCAGTTCTTCTGTGTATAGACAGGTCATCACCAATTACCCATGATGGTGAAGATGAGGGAATTCTGCTTGGCTTGTGAACACTGTGAGATAATCTCTGCAACTTCAGACTGGTTTGGCTCATATGGTTTCATGTACAATAGCTTTAGGGCTTGAGAGAATATTTCACGTTATATAAATCAGTATAGATAAAATTGCTCATTAATTCTATAAAAGTGCTTCCTTGTGCAAAGTCTAAGAAAAATATCCAGAGTGCCCATATTTCTTTTGAGTTCCTTTAGTGTGTTTGGTCAAAGTATTTTGATTTTATGTTCTTGGTGTTTGGGATAATATCTACTACAAATCCAGGGATAATTAGGGGAAGAAGAGCTGACTGTGTTAAGGGATTC